CCTATGTTGAATGCTCAGTGGGAGAATGTCCTACCAAATCCTATCCCGGAATCTGGGAGATTCCACTGATTAACTATATAGATGGCAAAGGAAAATTGTGTTCGACAGTTCCAGCTTGCGAATTAAAGGACGAATTAGAGGATAGAGATTACCGCGAATATAAAAATATAGACAGGCCAACAGCCAAGAAAAATGGGCCATCGGATAGCAGAGCTAAGAAAGTCTTTGATTTGCTCTCTAACAATTTCCACGCTCACTATGAATCCAACAGGGCTCCTTTCCCTTTAGCACTTTACTGGGAATGGCTTTCTCCCACTCACGAAGATGATTGGATTGACGGAAATTCGAAAGACGGCGAAAAAGGAGATGGTGGTGATGAGGGAGGAGTTGAAGAAGAGGATTGGGAGGACGACAAAAAGAAGAAGAGAGCTGTAAAGCGCGAAACTCTTAAATATTACAACGCTGTTGAAAGGGATAATAATGATGATGATGACAATAGGTGGTATTCGAAAAGAGGAGAAAGTGACGACGAGGAGGAAAGAAAAGATAGCTATAAAAGAAGGGATATTTCTTCCGCAAAAAAAGATAAGGGCCACAAAGAGTTAGATGCAAAATCGAATCCCAACTTACAAGGTTTGGTCGATTTCCTAGACATGATAGGAACGTTAGAAGATGTTTACATAGTAAATCATAAGGATACTGTATCTTGGATGGAGAGCCCGCTGGACTCAGACACGTTAGCAAATCCAACTTCATATTTCAAGAAATATGGGAAAGGTCTGTCGGGTAACCGAAAAACCCGGTAAATTAATTTGGAAGATGTATAGGGGAGAAAAATTAATTTAAAAATAAGTATTACTATATGATAATGTATTGAGTGATTTATAAAATATTCATTAGTTATGAGATCGTTCTTACATTGAATTTCACATAATTTTCAATAAGCCCCTCCTAATATTTTAATGCTTTTTAGATAAATATTATATTATATCACGGAGTCAAGAATTAGCGCCAATTTTTATTTTAAATCTAACAGGCTTGATGACCCACCACCTGGCCCTTGGATGTGCAAGAGAGCTTTGAATTATGGCAGAAACGATGTAGCCGATAACACTGCCGATTGTTCGGTCAAGGAATATACTACATGCGCTTACGATACCGATAAAGGGCTTAAATATTTTTTTCCGTGCGGAGAATGCCCTAAAAATTATCCTTGGGCCAATAACCCATTGGGGGAATGAACTATAATCATTTTCAAATAGATATTTATGTAAATCCTTGATTATTACTATTTTATTATTCGTAAATAACAATTCAGGTATGTTTGCAAATGTTTTTAATTATTAGTAAATTACAAATGTGTCCCAAATACATAATGTATATAAATAGTAATAATCTGTAGCATATATATTTAGTTTCTGCTTCTCCTCAATAATGGCAAATTTAAAAGATCATACCAATGGTTTTCCATATTTTTAAATAAAAAAAGTTTTTTTTTTGAACTTATATAATTCGATTACGATTTTTTCCCTATCTAAACTAAAATGCCGATGATTTACATAAAATGGTGATTTGATATGATGTTTTTTTTAAAAATTATTAGAGGCAAAAGATGGTTTAATTACCTCAATGAAGCTAACATTCATTATATTGATACAATTTTTTGAACCAGGATTTTATTTCATTTTATATATTTATTTATTTGGAAAAATAATATAAAAGCAAATTAGTATTGACTTAACTTTAGCCAACTCTAATAAGACTCATCAATTTGCTTAAAAAATTACTTTAAACAATGAAAGCTTAAACTTCAAAGATTGAAATTTTTTTATGATAAAAACTTAACTAAATACTATTTTGGAGTTGGTTATGACTGATATGATTATTTTTCCAACTTTAATAATTAAAATTTAATTTTATACAGGGAAAATCATGCCATTAAGTATATATGAGTTAATATAAATCAATTTCCAAATGTTATATGCAGATACACAAACAAGATGCAGACATGGATAGTTAACATTTTAGTTTTAATAAATGTTTTTTAAATTTAAATGTAATTTTAAATAAGATGTTTATTGTATATATAGATTTTATTTATAAATTGAGGTGGTTATAATCTGATTTATAATATATTTAAGTTATAAACTAATACTTAATTATTCTATAAAACAATTTAAAAATTTATTAATTTCTCGGTATTTATAACTAATAAGGGTACGCACAATTCAAAAAAATTTTTTAAAAAAAATGATACTCGCATTTATACATTATGCATCCTAACACGATTTCGTAAATTTCAAGAATAAATGAATCTAAAATTTTGACTTTCAACCCTAAATTATTATTCTAATTTAGATTTCAGAGAAAAAAAAATAAAGTTTCTATGAATACAAAACATAATCATAATTAAACTATGAATAAAAATATATAATTAAATTTATTAACATCTAAAAAATATCTTATTTTTCGAATTAACACCACACATCTATCCCCTTCTGTCTTTAGATCAAAACCATCATTGTTACAGCATAATCGGCTTATAATTGTACTTTGCATTTTATGCTTCTCTCCATTAATTGTATTTACCATTACAATTGTCTTTAATTTATTATACTAATGCATGTATAACCCGGGATTCAAACCGAACCTTTAAACCGTTTTTTTATATAAAATAAAGTATAAAATAATAGAATTCCAAAAGTTTATTTTTCGATTAGTTTATTTACGTTATCTTTTTTTTAAAATATATTTTAATCAACATCTAAAAAATATGTTTTCTAAGATCGAAGTAATTACTAAATTTCTTCAATAAACAGTTTATAATTAATTTTTGTAAGATATTTTAAATAATTTGGGAATTAAGTAGAATTTTTCTTCAGTGTTTATAGAGTATTTCATGATTTGCATGTGTTGAGTTATGCGATATTTATTTATGGAAATAGGGCTATATAATATATAAATTAAAATTCATAATCCTCATGATGTGAAGTCAAACAGTTCTCGAATTATTCCGCAAATGATATGATCAAATTTTACTAAGTTTCGGAGAACAGTCAATTTATGAAAAAAGTTAACCAACACTTTATAAAATATTTATGAATAATCAAGGTTAATCCAGAAATGATGTTAAATAAACCGGAAACATTTTTAGGAGCGGTAGCTTAAAAGACGTCGGATCGATACTCGAATTATACGAGTTAATGAAAAACAGATTCGATAAGTAAGTTTACATGCATGATTATCAACGCCACCAATTCCGAAGACATATTAAACAAGTTCATGCATCATGGAGATTGTTGAAACCTTCTTTATAGTTGGCTCAAGTTAGCTAAAAAGAACCATAACGGACCTTTAATGCTGGAACTGCTAACCCTTATCAGCAAATTGCCCGTGTCCATACCTTTGCTCAAGACAAACGATACGGCCAAATTTATCAAGCAGCTCGTCAAGGAACCGAAAACGAGAAAGTACCCATTAAATCATTAGCCAGTGAAATAGTTACAAACTGGATGAACTTGATATAGAAAACGAAAGCTAAAAATATAGTAAGGAGTAAGAATAGTAAATTATCCGTTGTTTGAATACGAATAAATAATTATTCGATTCGAATAGTACAAATATTCGACGAATTGTCTGAATAATCTGTTTTATTAGAGTCATTAATATGTTTATAATAAAATTTAATTATTTATCACTTCTGTTAATAACCTATCAATCTGACAGGGGATGTAATTAATAAGGTTATATATCGATACTGAGATTTTCAAAAAGTAGCTTCTATACTAATTAGCTAATAACATGAATTTTTTTTTATTTCGAAAAATTAACAATTATATTGATATTTACCTGGCTATATTCTCTAATAAATTTACGTTCCTGAGAAAAGCGCATAATCCCTACGTTATCACATAAATAATCAAGATCTTTCATTAACAATACCATTGATTATTCCATCTTGTGGTATTTGGACAAATCCTTTAATTATATTATCGGTTATATTTGTGGATATATTTTGTTTATTCCACAAAAACTGTCACTTTTGAAATGAGCTTTGGAATATAATTTAAAAAAACTCGACTTTCTAAAGCTTTCTCCACATAAACCGCGGCCACTAAACCAATATTGTGGCAGGCAGAAAATCATAACTTTCTACTCTGTTAGACAAAATATCATTGATATCAACATCTTGAAAATCTTTATTTATTTCACAACTTTTATCCTCAAAAATAAAATAAAGTTATATTTAATTTTTTAATGCTTAATTTTGAATTACCTGAAGGCCTTCACAAAGTTTCTACCATAGTCAGTAAAGTTTTTATTACCTTATTTCTGGATTTTAAAACTTCTATGTGTATATCAATTATAATCTTGGCCAAGACATCAAAAGTATGCTTATCTTCAACATGTTTTAAGTCTAAGGCTGAAGAGTTTCATTGCAATGATTTCGAATTGATCCAAGCTGTTACACATAAGAAAGTTGTTTTATAAAGATCGTTAAGATCCACCTCTCTTTAATAATAAAAATATTTACTATATGATAGAAATTTTATTTCACCCATTCAGTATCCCCTAAATCTGATAACACTATATCCGTTTTCCATGTTTCTTTATTTTGAAAAAAAGAGAATAAAATAAAGGTAACAACTCGACTCAACATTTAATTTTATAGTTTCATAAATACATAATTTGTTATTGTATTCATTCAACTAATTACATTTAATATTAAGATTATTTTTTAAAACTATTTATGCAATATAAAATTAAAGGAACGGAGCGGCCCCAAAAAGGAGCTAGCTCCCACTTCCTATTTTTGAAATATAGTGGTGCTCAATGTAATTTTGTAAAAATGTAGCAGAGCATAGCTCTTTAGTCACTCTGATCTCAATTATTCTTTTTAAAATTAGAGTAGTCCGTGGCTTTTATATGCATATTTATGTTTATTACTAAAACAATAAGTCATTCATATAATCAATCAACCCAATACCATCATGATTTATTTTAACAAATAATTAATATATAACAAATATATGTATAGGTTTATACATGTCAATAATCAATCTGTGATTTAATAATAATAAGGAATAATTTGCTAATATAAAAAAATATATAAATTATATTTAATTTTTTAAAAAAGTATATTATTTTTTCTTTTGACTTTTTTTGGAGGATTTAGTGTCTTTGTTAAGCGATTGGGAAGACATTTCGAGATTGAATTTAGCTATAGCATGTCCGGTAGCCTTAATGTGATCGAATAATTTATTGCGAGAATCGAATATTTCGGAACATATCCTACACACGTAGCTACTAACTTTAAGCTTGCTATTTTTCTTGTGCTGTTTGGAAGTTATATTTTTTGTTTCATCTTTTAATGAATCTATGTCGGAATCATTTGTTCGGCTCTGTTGAGCGTTTGCTACGCGTGAATGTTGTTTATCCGTTGTCTTATTAGCGTTAGGATCGATACTTTAAAATCAGAATACTATTTAAATTAGTTTTAAAATCAAAGAAAAAATCTATTATATTCTTTCTGCCTAATTTATATCGTCAATTTTTTTCTACAATGATTTTTATTGACGTTATCAAAAACATATATTAAAAAAACAGGGTTATAGACCCACTCCCTGGGTTCAAAAATTATAAAGTATTTTGCTAAAAATTTTGCGAACATGATCACCTTTTGGCAACCAAACCCGGTATAATGGGGTCGGGATGGATATCCCTTTTTGAAAATCAGTTACTATAAATTTTATTTTATAAAATTCTCGCAGCAAAACATTTCTAAATTTTTGAAGCCTTATACCGGATCCAAAACCCTGAAAAAAGTTTTACTTCTATAATAAAATCATACCTTGCTGATGACGTTTCAAGCGGAGAATCGTGTAGACGGTCCTCTTTTTCATTTTGATTGTTTCCACCAGCCAGTAAACAATCGATATTGATTGTACTGTTTTCTATATTTATGTTTATTCTTTCGTCTATGTCAATCTCAATATTATTTGACACAATTGCAATATTCGTAATTTGTCCTCCATTTTGCAATTCGCATACATTTCCACCATTATTAAAATACAATTGTTGACTAGTAGGCGATAACTCTCTCTTTATTTTGACCAATGAGTCCTTATGTTTCTTAGAGTTTTCGTGATTCACAAATGCTGAAGTGGATTTAAAAAGCTTGTTACAAATTAGGCAGTATAGAGGTCTTTTAGAGTTGGCTAATAATTTATATATAATTTTTTTTTACAATTTTATGTTTTCTAGCATTGTAGAATTTTATCAAATGCTCTTCAAATTAAAAAAATTTTTTTTGACAATGCTCAAACAATATTTTTGATCAAATTTTACCTAAAATTTCAAATTTTTTAATCTATAAAATAAATCTTATATTTTATGATCTTCAAGGATTTTTTGCTCAAAAATAAAGAATAATCGTGGTTGGTCAAAATGTCTAAAAAAACCATCTAAACTAATTTAATCCAAGAATGATTTATTCCTAATTAAATTTCCTTTTCTGGACATTTAGTTTGGGACAATTTGTTCCGACACCTTAAATACTAATATGAGATAATATTTTTTTTAAAGTAAACCATTTTGTCTTAAATCAGTCGAAACTGATTCGCTTTCTTCCTCGCTTTGAGATCCGTTATCAGAACTAAACGAGCCATTCATTTCTTCTTTCCCAAATATTTCGTCCAATTTTTCCTCCAGCATCTGGATGTCTTTCTCTAACGAAGGGTCTTGTAACGGATCCACATTGTTGAGGAATCTAGATTGATATCTTTCTTTCTTTTGGAGGATACGTTTTTGGTTGAGAGCCTCTGTTTTTTCGAGATTGGCCTTTTCTACGAAATCCTGTTAAATTTTAAAAATATGAAATAATATATATTTAATAACTCAAAAAAAAACAAATCAATTTAATTAAGCATTTTACCCTGTAAAACATCATGGCTCACTTGTAAAAGTTTTCGTTTTAAAATCTAAGAATCATTTCAAATCTGGAAAAAAATATCATTTTAAACATAATGTGCCGCAATTATTTTTGCATATTTGAAATTAGCAAACCAAACAACATTAATACTAAATCTAAACTGACAATTCCTCCTTCATTAATGGATCAAAAAGTGAATACATATATTGAAGTCTATCATTGAAAGGCATTTAGAAAATATGCCCTGAAATGCATTTCAATGGTATCATACTAAGCAGAACTCTGATAATTTAATGATAATAAGTATTGTTGGAGATAGATAATTTGCAGTAGATAATTTATTAAATAAACCTAAAAGGATTATTATAAGTTTAATATTTTAAAAGTTTGGTTTGTGAAAAAGGGCCTTTTATGAATATGATTTAAAAAAATGAATATCTCATCTTGGCAAAATTGCATCTATATATAGATATATTTTTAGGCCATGTATGTGTATCTAGCCACATTTTTCATGTAATCTAGATATATTTGAACTAGATATCTTTTAACCACTCTTGGTATGAGTATGTTTTTCTTCTACTTTGATATCTATTATGTTCTTAAAATTGTTCTATAGAAACAATTTTATTTTCAGAGACTAATAATAGGCTATCGAGAAAAATTATTTAATATTCGATTAGAAATATTGTGAGTAACAAATTATATGAAATCGTAAATTTTTAGTAAATATTCAAATTATTAGTTAAATTTAGAATCATACAAATATTTGTAATATATATTTTTTAAATGAAAGTCATTGTAATCAAATATATATTCTTCTGGCATTTGTGGAATTGATATTAATGGCAAAATTATGCAATCAGAAAAAAAACGAATAGGACTTTTTTAAATCTTGTGATAGTCTATTTTTATAGGCAACCCATAAAATAAGAAACAATTAGGAAAACTTTATGCCTGAATAGGGTTTTTTAATGTAAATTTATCAAATAGCATTTTAAAATATTTTAATTGCATCAATGACCAATTATGAATTATGCCATATTTGAATATTGTCTTTTTTGTGGGGATCACTATAAAATTTCCGCAAAAAATTGTATTTTTAATTAAAAAATAAAAATATTCATTATTTGTATTATGAATAATACAATTATACTCGCGTAAAAACAAATACTAATGATTCGATTCTATTTTAAAAGGGTCGAAATTTAAAAAAAATAAATATAGATGAAATAATGATATCAATAAAGATGTAACCGATATTGAATGAGACCTATTTAGCCTCTTTTAAAATATCGGTTATCAGCCAATAGTATAAAATTTTCCGAACCGATAAAATGGCGTCTTAATTTTTAATATTTCAAATTTCATTTATCTAAATAATTCATGATTTGCCGTAATTATCGTAAATACTTAGCAAGCCTGGTGGATAATAGTATTATTAGGGGTGTACCGATACCACTTTTTGGAGGCAGATCCGATCCGATATTCCAGATATTAAATTGATATCGGCAGATAACCGATCCGATATCATATCTAATTTTGTATTCTGTAAAGATACCAATGGTTTTAATTTGTAATATACTTTTTATTAGTATAACATTTATTTAATTATACCATAACTTATGTCATTTAAATATATTATAATGATGTTATAGTTTATATTCAATTTTATTGCCTAAAAGTATATAAAATAATATAATAAGTAACAAAATTAATCTATATACATAATAAGTAATAGACAAATATATTATGAAATTTAAATAAATATTTAACATTAATATATCGAATATCAAAATTTCTAATTTATCAGAAATCAGCCTGCGGCGATGGTAACTGTCAATATCACTAGCATCACTAAAAACAGATTCTGAAGAGATATTCGCACACTTTTATAAACAGAATGCGCAAAAATAATATGGCAGAATGTTAATTAATTAATTATTATTATTAAAAAAATATGGATTTCGATTTTATTTATAAAAATAAATGATTTTAGATATAACTTTTTTTTAAAAATTTATAACATTTTATTTTTGTTAAGGACGCCATTTAATATCGGATCGGCAAATTTTACAATATTGGCCAATAACCGATATTTTATAATAGGTGAAATATCGGCCCGATCCGATCTGATAAAAAGTATCGGTACATCCCTAAGTATTATTATTCATTTTGTTATTTTATACGCCTAAAGTATCACTTTGAATTAAGGTAGATTGTTTTTCAAATGTATATATAGAAAAATTTCAAATTTTTAGAACCGCCTGGTAGAGGTCTGTATAACTTGATTAAAAACACTGCCCCACCCCTTAAATAGTAGTCAGTGGTTGCCATTAATTTTTTTTTTATTTCAGTTGAGTCAGGTCATAATTTTTTCCAGGTTGGTTTGGTCTGAAAATATTTTTAATATAATTTTTGAATTTAATGAGTGATATCAATAAAAGGTTTGTGTTATATATTAATTATACTTTTCCAAAAATAAATAAATTTGGAATTTATATATTTATTTTATGTTTGGTTTTTGTCAGGGATAAAAATTTTTTTGGATTGGGTGCCAATGCTTTTCTTACTATTAGTCAAGTCAAAAAAATTTGTCTCTTGAAGGTATTTACCACCAAGTCAGTTAAAAAATAAATGTGTGTATCCAAATTTTTGTGAAAATTAGCCCCAAATCTGTCCAGCTTGATTTTAGATGGATGGGGCCTAAACCCATACAGCCAGTTAATTAATTTTTAAAATAAAGATTGCTAACTTCATATCATTTTTCTCAATAAATAAATATTTTTTTATTTAGCAAATGGGAAAAAATAAGAAAATAATTTGTTTAAAAAAAACTTTTCTAGCTTTGACACGAGGATCTCGTTTTTTGACAAATTGGATTAATTCCCTGACTTCTTCATTCCTTTGCTTCCTTGCATTTTTGCATATTTTCTCGTTTTCTTTCTCAATCATGCGAGCTACCCTCCGATTAGGAGCATTTTTGATTGCTCCAATATCAGTTAGCCAGGAAAATGTTTTGAGGGTGGAATAAGCTTCCCAGAAGCTATAAAAAGGTCCTACAGCCTATTTTTTTTAATGATAATTGTAAAGGTTTTATAAAACATTATTTAAATTTATTTAAAAGTATTCTATTATAAATGAAATAAGTTTTACAAAAAAATTGGTGAATTTAATTCTATTTTAAAAATATTTCTAATTTTCTTTAATAAATATATATTTAAGATATAATTACATTTTCATAAGAGCTATCAGAATAACCAAATGTTGGTATTATAAAATCGGAATCAATGCTTTCATCTTTATGATATGGCAAATCCTCAGCTCCAATTTCTGTAAATACTTTTCGATAAACAGTATAAAAACCCTATAAAAAAAATAAAATAGAGTATTCAAAAAATTTACACCTGTGGCCCATCATTAAATCCTTTAAAGCAGCTTGAGTTATAATAATGATATACATTTAAACTATTTTTATCAGTTCCCTTATCAAACCCTTAAATAAATATATTATGAATAAATGTTCAAAACTATTAAACCTGATAAAATAGAGTCCCTATGTTTATCATAAAATGCTCTTTCGTGGGGGTCGCTTAAGGTATCATAAGCCTGTTGTATATATTTAAATATTTGGGTAGATTCTTCTTCATTTTTAGGGTTTTTATCTGTATATATATAGTATAAAACTATTTTCAAAATAAGATAAAATAAACCTGGATGCCACTTGAGTGCCATCTTACGATAAGCTTTTTTAATTTCTTCGTTATTTGCTTCTTTGTCAATTGAGAGAACTTCATAATAACATTTCATCCTCATCATTTCGAAATTTTTTGACCTTACCTTAGAGGGTATTATAATTTTTTTAATAAAAAGTACTGAAATTATATTCAAATCAAATACACAAGGAAAAAGTTGGGCAGATCCTAAAATAAAAAACCAATACAGATTATATTAAAAAGAATGTCAATAAATATTAAATATAAGATACTTGTATCTTTTTCTAAATGAGAGTAACTTACAAGATATATTTTATAAAAATGTTTATTAATTCCTTCTGAACAATAAGCCATAATGTCAATGTGGAATTCAAAAATTATGTGGTTAACAAAAATTGATGTCATTCCTTTTCACCTAACTGCATTTAGGAAATTGTGTTTGACCCAGCAATATGAGCGGAGAAGAAGAGATAAATAAAATTAACCTACACCAACAAAAGTACTTAGAGAAAATAACCTTAACAAGTTGAAACATAAATGACATCAAATTCTAGTTTATTTCTCAAGAAGAGCTATTCCTTACTTTTTCACATCTTTAGTATTTTTTTAAAATTTCTTAAATATTAATAAAAGAATATTTCGATAACTATAATAAAATATTCCTAGGATATTTTCTATAAATATAATTAAAAGCTAAAAGAGAAACATTATTATGAAAAAATATTCAAATAAACAATCAGTAAATTGAAAATACCCAGACATTTATTTATTATATACGCCGTGTCCAAAGGGCAATCCAAAATGTTGGCCAGGGAACTATGAATAAATATATTTTATTGCACAAATAAAATATGATGATTAGCTTAAGAGGGTGACTAATATAAAGATGGATAAGAAATCAAAATTTATATTCTTATAAAACAGTAAAATTCATATGTCAAAATATAAAATAATATTAAATATCAATTAAAGATAGGAAGGAAAAAAATAAATGATAGAAAAAAGCAACAAAATAATTCAAGAATCCATAGGGAAAGAATGTAGAAAATAATATAATTTTTTTTAAATAAAAAAAATAAAATAGTATCTCTAGCTATATTTTTTGTCAAGAAAATGAAAAAGATAAAAAATTCTTTTAAAATAAAGTATCTTAGAGACAGATATAAGTATCCTATTAAAATTTTTAGCAGTTATTTAAATTTTTAAAAGCATATTGCTGGCAATATTGGAAGAAAAGAACATTTTATTTTCATCAAACCTATAAACCCAAATTTGAGTTCAAAAATTTTAAATTGTTTTTAAGTTTTCTAAGAACAAATAGGGACCGATTTATGCACACCTATCAAACCGCAAGAATTTTCTGACCGGGCTGGCTCGGATTCGGATTCTTTATAAAAATATATTCTGATTAAATTTATGCTTAAAATTTTCTTAGTGCAGATCCCTGAACCCAAATTTTTTTTAAAGGTCTGATATTTCTAAAAATTTATCATCGTTAGACTTATTTCAGAAAAATCTGCAAGCTATCCGTAATTATTTATGTTTTGATCTTCATATGAAGATGCAACATAGATAGAAAAACAAATAAAAGTAGGATTATAGTTTGATATATAATATACGTTGCTTGAGATAATTTTATATTAGTTCCACACTCAACATGACATGTGGGTATTGTGAAAGCCCCATGGTGAGGCCAAATTATGAAGGAAAACATTTGTAAAATTTATTTATAGTTGTCAATGTTAGACAAAAAAAAATATTTTATCGATTCAAATTATTTCAATAAGTATGAGGCATAATATTTGATTTGAATAATGCCTTTATTCACCTTGGAGGTCTGCAATGAATGGTTGTTATCCTGACTTAAAAGATTTAAACAATGGCAGGAGGATGAAATTGCGTAACGGTTGGGTATGAAAACAAGTAGGCTAAATAACATACCTCGTATTCACTCTTTATTTGTTTTATCTAAAATTTAAAAAATTAGATTTAGAGGAAATATTTAATTTTTATGCATATACTATGTTAAAAAGTAGAAATAATCGGATATAAATTTAAATATAAAAATCCTTAAATCGGTATAAAAAAACATGTTCTTTGTTAAACTTTGATCTTTTAAGATAATTCGCTTAGGAAATTATAAATTAAAGTTTAACAATTTACTTTTAATGAAAAAATTCGAGGCGAGTTTTTGCCTGTATAAATTATTAGGCATGATTTACATTGGCAATAATCTAGGTTGCCAGATCTATCACATTGACTAGTAGACTCTAACAATCTCTTTAAAGTTTAATGGCCACACTATTTAACACAATTCTATTACATTTGTAAAATTTAAAAAATTTCACACATACTAAAATTTTCTATTATTTTAAAAATATAAATTCGATATTATTTTATTATTAATTAAAAAAACTTAAAAATTTGCCAGCTATGGGCAAAGATTATGTAAAATATATCAGTTTTTAACAGTTGGACAAGATTTGCAGCAGGGTCACATTTTTAAATCAATAACTTTACCCGATTTATGTAGTGGTCATTAAAAAAATATAAACTATATTTTATAAGGATTTATAGGGAAAAATAAATCGGTGACATTATAGCCTAAGGAGTAGCTCGCTTTTGAACCCTATAGAAGGCCGAGAAAAGGGGTTTTTGGGGGTCAAATCCTCAAATTTTATTTAAAAAAAAATCTAACAATTTAATAAATTTGATTGGGCAACCCTGCCTATAATATGAATGAGAGAACTTGAACAAGCACGTTTGAAAATTAAATTTTTTTAAACTTATAATTCTTATTTTAGAGTTAACATGATAATTTTAATATTGATACATAATAAATTTAAATTTGAAAAAAAAAATACATCCTAAGGGTTATATAAAGATGAAAATAAAAATTATTATTCGATGAATGATAACTCCAATTTTTTAAAGATGTTTATTGTAATAATCGAACTTAATTTAAACGTAAAAAAAATAAATAATAAAATTAAGTCTCATTATGATAATATTTATTGCAAATCAAAAAAATTTATAAATTTTTTTGAATGAAAATATTATATACTGATCTAGTATACACTTTCATATTCCTATTATCCTTTTCAAAAGGCGTTATCTGCAAATGTCCCACAGGTAATATTTTATTATATCAAATGATTGAATAGATTTTATGGGATATTTTTTTTTAAATATCTTTACCTGAATAATATATATCCACAATTTATAGAATTAATTCTATAATAACTTACTAGCACAAAAGACGATTTAAAAAATTTACCTTAAAAAATTACTTTTCTTTGGTTAATATAAAGGTGATATCCAACCTCAAGACTTAATAAAATGGGCATGCGATTGTCAGAATGGAGAATTTATTACTGTTAAGACTAGTGATGGCGTCAGACATAGTGTGCAAACATTTTACGATATAAAAACTAAAGAATTCGTTCTTGATTTAGGCCCTAAAAATTTGAGGTACAACGTACAGACTGAGGATTTAAATGGGCCAAGAGCCAAGAAATTCGTCGTTTACACGATATTGCCCCACGATGATATCACATTCATAAAAGCAGTGTCAACTTACTATTCAACTGTGAGAATTAAAACAGATTTGGAAATGCTATTCAATATACACCAAGGTCCTATAGACGCGGAATTATATACAATGGATCTGCCGACCAAAAAATTTGAACAAAAATGTGTCCAAACTCCGGACCCATTTAGTAACGAAAAGTAGTTAAATCTATCATATAAATTTTAAACAAAATTAATTGTATTAAAATGAAGCTCTAAAATAAATATCATAACCGGGAAGGCGTTGCTGTGCAAACCTACTCAATCAAAATCAATTTGCGGAAAATGTTCTATACCTCGTGCCAACGAATATTCCGGTAAAATAGTTTGGCTTTGTTTATTTTAATAAAAATTATTCTATGTAAGAGAAGTTTTTACTAAGAGCCATTAAAATCAATCAAAATTCAAACAATTCTGAAGTATTCGCAAACAAAGTAAATAAAACTCAATATTTATACATTATATATAAATTTAAAGAGAGAGACTTTCTAATAATAAGAATATTATTTATTATATAATTTTTTTATGCAGGTGTTTAAAAAGGAATTTGCTTTAAGGGAGGAGATGGGATAATTTTTTATTTCCTATTTAGGATCTAGTATAATAATTAGATAAGCTCATCTGTTGTAATACAGATTTAGCTATCATTATAAAAGTGAAAATTTAATTTTTTTTTCCAATAATTTAAATCTCTTCAATATTTATAGAATTAATTTATTCAAATTTAACCTTTTTCGGTTCTTATGTGATACCTCCTATATGATTGGTCTTTTTTTTTAAAACCTTCTTAAAGATTAAAAAAAGGTTTTTTCAATTGTGGTATTGTGATTTGTGACCTTATTATAATATAATTTTAATATATTAGGAAAAGTGATCTAAATAATTACATGTAAAATTTTTCATAGTTTTTTACTTAGAATTTTTATCGCCGTTTTAAAATAAATAAAATATCCATAAAATTAAGTGCATTTGATCCAGAGTAAATCGTAATTCATATGGATCTATTTTATAAAATTATGCTTAGAATTTTGCAATTACTAAAATCTGAAACTTATTATTAGCATTCATTTAATACCTAGGCTATACCACATTATGTTGCAATTTAAAAAAACATTTTAAACACCCTCTTATAAACATTATCAACATTGATTTTAATATGGTATTAAATTATAGAAAATAATCAAAAGTATTCTGACACCCTTAGGCTTAAATCGGCACATCAAATAATAATGTTATCTAAATAAATAAATGATCATTAAGAGGCTAATTAAAAATAAAAAAAAACATTAAATTTTTAATCTATTTAAGTATTTAATGCAAAAATTTCTTTGAGAATATGAATATTTAAAAAAAATATCCTTACATAATCAGTCAAATTTCTCCAATTTTATTATTTCTATTTCTATGCAATACTTGGAGGGTCTATATATTTATTCTGAAAGAATTCTTTATTTATCCCAATAATAAATTACTCTTATTTATCGACATTCCAATGATAATAATATATTTTCCATTTTATAGAGAAACCCTTCAACTTATACCTTTAAATTAACCTACTATCAAGTTTTATTACGCATAGGTCTTTGTGATGGCAGACCTCAACCTTTTCCGATCAATGGGTATTCATCCATTCGATCAACTAATACTCCAATTAAAGAAAATTATACTAATAAGCAATTTTCGCCCATGTCTCCTAGTTCTACAAGAAATGATCGAGTGAATACCGAAGATAATGGAGATGAAGATCCTTCAGAGTCAGATCTCGACAATTATACCCGAAATCTTATCATAAATAAGGTATGTGGAATACCTCCTATATACCGGAAAAATAATAAAATAACGGGTAGGGTAGTTCAGACTCGGCCTCATGAATACAGAATCAAAGGTGGAATGGTAGTCAAACCTAATTCGTGGCCCTGGCAAGTAGCGGTATATAGTCAGATTAATAAATTTCTGTGTGGAGGTACTATAATATATCCTGGAGTAATTCTTACGGCAGCTCATTGTTTCTTAAATTCGAGGTAATGTTCTTGTTTTCTCATATAATATTAAATGTAGTCCACTCAAGTTGTCACAAATATTATATTATTAGATATATTCAACTTATATAATCGAGCGAAACTCATGGGCTCAGTTTTAAAGAAAAATTTTAACTGATATTATCTGCAGCTGATTTTTTATTCCAAACTATTAGCTGAGATTTTAACTTTAAAATTGATTAATATAAAAAATTTTTGAAAATAATTATAAAAATCAGGGTTGTGCATTTGACCGGTCAAATACAATTCGGTCAATTGACCGATATTTGACCGGTCAAATATGGTCAAATACGGTCAAATTCAAATAAATGTTTTTTACACCAATATTAACTTTATTTTGCATTTATATAATATTATAATAAATCTATGTATAATAATAAATATCATAATATTTTTTAATTCATTCTATAGTCAATGTTTCACCCTCCGTGGCAGAGTCTTGTTCCGATTCATATTCATATTCAATATCAATATTTTCTTTAATATTTTTAATCAATCTTAAATTATGATACACTCTTACTAATTTTCCTGCTGTAGAAGCCTTTAATCTATTTCTGTTTTTCGTGTGAATATTGCCCCAAACCGACCAATTTCTTTCAGAAGAAGAAGTCGAACTAGGAAATGTTAGTAAAATATTAGCGACTTCTCTTAATGGGCAAGGTGGGCAAAATGCATTCCACCAACTTGAGGCCGAAATTTGATTGTTTCTTATGGAAGTTACAACTTTCCACATATTATGGCTATTAAATATACCGCTTTTGCTTCTGAAATTTACTATATTACTCAAAATATTTTGATTATCACCACCTTGTAAAATACCCAATTCTTGTATTATATTACATGCTTCATCAAATTCAGTATTAGTAAGATGCTCCCCTTGATATTGGGGGTCCAATAAATAAGCAGCATTGTGAGCACATGTATTTATATCAGTTTTTCTCTTTTCAAACATAACCTTAATTTTTTTTTCTTGAGATGGAGAAAATATAGAATCATGGCATGATTGTATTATGTGTTTTTCCAAATTAAGCATCTCGTTTTTTACTTGGGCCAAAGTACATTTATCCCCTTGCACTTTCAACAATGAGGTAGCTAAAGGTTGAAGTATAGCTAAAAATTTTAAATTTTTCGTCCAAAATTCTTCGTTTAATATATTATTGGTAATTTCTTTGGGACAATTATCACAAACAGCTTCTTCAACAACTGATGCTTTTAGAGCTTTCTTGCATATTTGAATTTGCTCCATACATTTTATTGACGATGCCCATCTTGTTTGGCTAATTGTACTTAATGTAGATGGTATGCCATGAAGATTCTTATTACGGGAAAATACTGCAGCTGGTATGTGTTTATTCTTGAAAAATTTAACAATTTTTTTAATTATTGAAATATGGTCACTGAAGGCGTCCAATCGTTCAAAATCGTGAAAGAATAACTGCAATGTATGCGCTGCACAACCATAACATTGTATATGATTATAAATAGCTTCAGATTTTAGAATTCTCCAGGCTGCTTTCATGTTAGCGGCATTATCAGTAACTAAAGAATATACTTTTACCGGATTCAATTCATGAATTACATTTTTAAATTCCTGGGCAATATAATCTGCCGTATGGCGATTTTCCTCAGTATTTAGAAATTTGTAGAACACTGGAACAGGCGTCATCACCATAAAATTAATAATACTCTCGTTTCTAATGTTGCTCCAGCCATCTGATACAATTGATAAGTAAGGAGCTTTATCTATTATATCTGCAACTCTCACCTCCATATCACCTGACGCTTTGTCTAGAAGATATCCAGCCAGCTGCCTTCTCCTGGGTAATGTGTAAATAGGACGTATTTTTTTAAAAAATTCTTGGATGTAGGGATTTTCAGTGATGTGGAAAGGTAAATTGCTCGCATATACAGCCTTTGCAAACAATTGATCCAGCTCATTTTTTTCTTTGGGATTAATTCTATCTATGAAACCGGTTATACAAGATTGAGATTTATATTTAATCGCCTTGCTTGTAGATTGATTAGAAATAAGGGAATCAAATTCTCCTGAGTCACAAGACAAAATATTGTTCATTTGATAATCATTCTCACTAATTTCACCCAATTCTTCATTAGAGTTAGACTTAGAATTATTACAAATTACATTTGTGATATTTTTTGTAGAGGTTGATATTTTGGAATTTGGATAAAATTTTTCCTTAATTATAACAGGGCACATAGTACAGCTGCTTAATAAATGTTTGACCATTCTATCAACGTGGGTGATATAGGACATCTTGCAAAACTTGCACACCGCTTTAACTGATTTACCATCGCGTACTTCTTGAAAATGTTTTCAAACATGATGCTTTGGTTTGACCATAATCCCTAATATATTAAAATTTAACAAAAAATGATTTTGATTATTGTAAAGTTAATCAATCTTAACTATTTTATAATTATCGACCAATTATTCCAATAATTTCTTAATATTATAAATATAATATAATAAACTTTTTACCAGAATTGAATAATATTCCGTAAATCTGACCAGAACAATTAAAATGAAAATTAATTTTAAAAACCAAATATAGCAAGTGTAAGTAAAACAAATGAGAATTAATATAATTTATACTCGGCTAAATATTAAATAAAATTTAAATTTATTAAAAAATAAGAATGAAAAAATTATATTATGATTATAATAAATCGGGTATTTTTATTTTTTTTAAGAAAAATGAATTGAAAAAAATAAAGAAGGCGAGAAACGGCAATGATTAGGCAAAAAAATAACTAAAAATATTACTATATTTAGAAAAATTACATATTTATATTTTAATAAAAAAATAATAAGATTGATAAACATGCTTTTAATGCATACTAGTTAATTATATCAAAATATTTATTCGCCATTAATATTTTAGAGTATTTGACCGTATTTGACCAGTCAAATACTCCTCCGGTCAGTCAATTGACCGAATTTGACCGGTCAATTGACCGACATGCCAACCCTGATAAAAATAGACTATAATTGTTTGAATTATTTTAATGAACTTATGAAATGTTTAATTAATTTAAATATATATTTTTTAATAAAGAAAAACAATTGAACAAAAGTAAATATATTTTCTTTTAAAAATCAATCTTATAACAACAGAACAAGCAGGGATTTGAATGATCTTAGGGTACGAGCCGGTAAACATAATGTTTCGATTGAAAAGGAAAAGACTCAACAAACCCGAAGAGTCGATAAATTCATTCCTCATGAAGATTTTAAATTTGACGGTAATACGGATTAAATAAATTTTGCCATTTTATATATAATAGTTAAGGAAAAGGAAGCAAACTCAAAGTGTTAATTTTTTTTGGTATAAAGTTGCACCTCTTACCACGAATTTTATAATTTCGAAAGAAAAAAATTCCAGACTCAGAATAAAGGCATTGATCTTGTTCTTTCCCCATTCGTTTAGTCGGAATGTTGCGAAAAACATCCTTGAAGAAAATACCTAATTTTAAATCTATTTGATTTGTATACAAATTTTATTATTTTATTTCATCCATATAAATGTAAAAATCAATTATTACATCTAAGTATTAAATATATTCTCTAATTAATTTCTTATGTGTGTATTTTTTAAATACAATGCTAAAATTTTGGAAAAATCTTTCTTTTATGATTATTTTTTGGAACGTTCCGGATAAAGTTTTAGAATTATCTTTCCACCGTTTCATATCTTCCAAGTTCCACTCCGGGATCGTGTTCAGAATAATAAATAGATAAGAACTATGCACAATAACATATGCCACTTTAAATAAGTTTATAAACTGCGTCCTAGACTAGTTCTTAATTTTTATTTTTAATTCTGAAGGGAGAATTCTATTCAGAAAAGCAAAATATATAAATATGCGTAAATGTGTACTTAGGTCGCATTCATAGTGGCATCCGATCCGACACAATTTAACAGCTGATGGATTTTTAAAATCTCTGAGATTAATTTTTCTTTAAATCAATATTTCTTAGATTATTATCATGAATAAAATTAAAGATAGAACTAATATTAATAAAGAAAAATTGATCCCCAAAACAGATTTTTAAAATTGATCAGCTGTTAATTCGTGTCTAACATATATATTTTATTTTATTTCAGTTTTATATTTTAGGTTTGTGCTAATGTGTTCTTTCCGTAAATGTAAAATTATTTTTTGAGCGATTTTAATAGAACTGTATTCCGGCATACTGAGAATATCTATCCTATGAATTTCAGAAAATTTTGCCGTTAACTTTTAAATCATTTATAATATCTATTTGAAAGAATAATAAATTTATGTATTGTAAAATTTTTTAAGAAACAAGGCTCTAATATCCATTATTTGTATAATACAATTCATATATTATAAAAGATATTTAATTTTTCTTTATTTAAATAAATTCGGGTCCGACCAAGTGGACAAATAATTTTTTTTTCGGCGGATATGTTACATTTTTATATAAAAATTATTTTTGTTAGTTTTGTTTTGCGATTTAATAGGTTTTGGTGATTGATTATGTTCTTGGTCTGTGGATCCTGTATAATAACATCATTCAAGAACACTCCTACATTTGTTATAACTTTAAATAAATTTTCCATGAAATAGTTGCCATTGTAGCTGGCCCAAAAATTATTCTACGATAGCAAAAATATTCAGTGTATAACTAGATATAAACTTTGTCCCTTATCAATCTCTATCTGAAGGTAGGCATCACGGAGATTTATTGTATTGAACATATGATCCCCCCTGTTAATTTCATTGTAATGTCTACAAACTTAGTAAATATTGATCCACTGCTAGATGTAGATGTTACACAGAAGTTCTAATAAATTCTGACTACCATCTTACTTTACAATTGGTATACCTGTAGCCCATTTAACTAAAGTGATCGTTGGATCAACTTTATAGGAGTTAATCTCCACTAACTAATGTATTTTCCTTTATAATAGTTTTTGTAAGCACGTCTAGATGGCATAGCTGTAGGCGTTGTATTTTTACCATTTTATTATTTATCATATCTAATTGTCTTCGAATATTTCTCTAAATTATATAAATTTTTTTTCCCTGTTTACTATTTATCATTTAAACATAGTCTGGTAGTTTTAAATTATATGCTAAAATTCATGGTAATCCAAATAATGGTGTATTCTTGGTCACACAATCCATGGTACCGCCTGTAATCTATCGTTTAAAGGATTTATTATTACATTCACATAAATCATAATTAATGGGGTATAGTTTTGCCTTCGCAAATAAGAAGTTAAGAAGTGAGTGGTATAATTGAGGTTTTTTCCTAGTTTCAACCATTATTGTTTTTATTAAACATAGTGTGAGCCCTAAATTCCATTATAAGTGTTTTTTAATATATCCGTACCTTAATTGTGATTGTTTTTTTATGTCAACTTGGTGAATATTATATAACATTGCTATGTTATACTAGCCTCGTTTTTTAGGTAATGTTCCTTATTACCGCATTTGAGACATATATTGCATTATATTATTACCTTATTATGTCTATCACCGCATCTAAATTATCTACTATCGTTGTTATTAAAATCTTGTCAGTTATTTATAATTCTTATAGAACTTGTTCCTATTATTATTTATAATAATGCCTGTTATCGAATTTGTTTTTACCATTATAATTATTTTTATTTATCCAGTTTGTTTCTATTTACCATTACTATTATCATTTTAACTATTATTATCATATTATATATTTTTATCATCATTTTTTTTATTATCATTTCTTCCATACGTTCGTCGTTATTTTATTTATTTCTGTAGTATCTTTTATTTCTTTATTTGCTCTAATTATAGACATTGCTACAATATTTTAAAATGTTATTAAAATACCCTTTTGAGCTTCAGGCCACCAATTGGTTCAAACATCTAATTATAGTTGTAAAAAAAATTCTAACAATAAATTTGTTCCATGATCTTTCCTCAATTGTTGTTTTAAAATGGGATGGTCCTAGTCGAGAACACGGCTTTTGCTGTATATAGAATTTCGCGGAGTCCAGGTTTCAATATATTTTATTTTCTCGATATCCTTAGGATATGATTTCTAAATCTATTCATGTTGTTAACTCCTATTAAGGCAAAGATTTCATAACTTATTTATTATTAGTAAAATTTTTGGCCATAAATATATTTTCTACTAGGAATATTTAATCTTGTATATCACAAGCTTCGTTAAATTTTTTTAGTAAGATCATGCTAGAAAAAGTGAAAATTTAAGAATTATTTATCCAGGTCGCTATTTTATAAGCAATTCGAAGATATATATATTATTTCATCTCATATTTACATACAGACACTCCGAATTTGAATATCGTTTTTTACAAAAATAAATATTTTTAAATATATTTTCTTTATTCAATTGTATCAGAGATCTATAGGCCGGGCACTAAGCCCGGTTTTTTTAAATATACCAAAAGAAAAATTTTCAAATGCCCTAGGCGGGTCTGAAAATTTTTTTAAAAAAATGCCTGGACTGGGTCGTATATTTTAAAACAAAATATCTTAATCGTCATTATTTGCTATAAAAATTATAAATAAATAAAATATAAAAAAATTCGTGACGAGCCTGAAAATATAAAGGGCCGAAAATTTTTTTTAAAGAAAAATCCGTGCAAATGATACCTCTGCAGATCTCTGAAATTAATTATTTTATTTATCAATATTCAAATAGTTGTAATAATTTATTTTTAGCAATAGATTACAAGAATGATATCGCCCTTTTAATATTGAGGAAACCATTAAAATTCAATAAAAATACGATAAATATATGCCTTAACGATGGATTTTACCCCGTGGATGAAAAAAGGCCAGATTGCTATGTCATCGGTTGGGGTGGTAAATACTCAATAAATTATTTTAAATAAGAATTATATTTAAAAAAAAAATATTATTATAAAGAATTATTTATTAAGTAGAGAAATAAGAATAATAATACCATTTGAAATATGAGGAAAATATTAATGTATTTCCCCACTAAGGAGTGAATATAGTAATCCAATTTCCTTTATTATATGTATATAGAGGACAACGTTGTTTTAAATCAATTGAAGGTGCCTCTAGTCACACTGAAGGTATGTAACTCTCGAAAATATATGAACAACAAAATAGTGAATGGTATGCTGTGCGCGGGCTATGTAGATGGTGGCAAAGACTCATGTGCGGTATATATATATTTTTACGCTGAAACATATAAGATTATATAATATGTTGTATACTCGTAGATGAGAGTTTAATGCATTCAATAATTTTACAAGGGTAACTGTCATTTACTTCGTAAAAATAGCATTCATTACAATTTCCCGAAACTCTATGGCATTAGAATCTAATATTAATATAATTTATAATGCATCAACTAGGTTTTGCTAAATTACCATAAATAAGGCAGGACAGATTAAAATTATGTTTGATAATTATCATAAATTTATCCGATTGAACGGATTTATATATTTTATAGGGAGATAGCGGAGGCCCATTACAATGTTTTAATGAAATGGATCAAAAGTGGTACATAACTGGAATAGTGAGCTGGGGTGAATCTTGCGCTTTACCTAACAGATTAGGTGTCTACACCAATGTTAAAGAATATCTGCCCTGGATTCAGCGCAAATTAAGGAATGCCAATTTGGCTGAGAATTATTTTATTCCAAAATTATAAAATATATTGATGGATAAAAAAGTTTCTTTTTTTACTTGTTAGTTGGCTTAAATGTTTATCAGTGTACAAATTGATCATATGAGTTACATATTATTATATAAATCTTATTTACGTCATGATATCCTAATCTTATATGTATAAAGTTAAAATAAAATATAATTTTATTCACAAAGATTAAATTTCTTAAAAAATAATAAGACAAGTATTAATTTATCATTCATTCTATCTAATAAAAACCAAATAATTCTTAAGCCTAGTTTTTGGTAACCGCGATGCCGCCCACGTAATTCTTTAAAACAAAACATAGCCTTTATAATTTAACATTATTTATTTTGAAAGCCACGCGATATCACGCTGTTTCGCGGTTACAAACAAAACCATAGTTTTTAATATAGGTTTGATATGCTGCTAGATGAGACAAGTCTTAATATTTCATTCATTTCGTATTAAATACCCTGGTTATTTTTCTAAATTGTTATAAAAAAATGATCATTATTGATATCCGTTCAAAACTAATGAATTATAAAAGACACAAATGAGGGCTTTATTTCCCGTTATCCATAAATGAACCTGTATCATTAAATAAACATTAAAAAAATACAAATCAAAATTAATTCATGGTAAAATCTCCATTTTATTTAAATTGTGAAGATCATCGTTTTGGAGGGCTTTTAAGAGGGCATCTGGAGGAAATGTTTCGTTTCCAGTTACACTCTTTTTCCCGTGAGTTGAAATTGTTTTTCTATTTGTCAGGCTTTTGAGGGGTAGCTTTGGGCTTATTCCTAAAGCCTTGTCGACAGCTGTTAAACGGACATCCGTATTATCGAAATTTTTGTCGAATTCTTTAACGAAATCTCCTCTATGTTCTTGAAGAGTATTCGCGTTATTAATCTGAACTGCCTCCCAATCTTTCAACTCCTGAATGTCGGTATCATTTTCCACAAATCCCCAATTAAAAAATTTATTAGGCGGGGCACCTTTAAATCTGTATTTCATTTGTAATTTATATATATTATTAATATCACCCATTTGTTAGTATTAAGATCATCAGGCTTATTGTTAAGGAACGCAGGCATAGGTAGATATTTTCATTATTAAATCTATTTTAAGCCCCATATCAAATATATACACTATTTTTTTTGCATGCCAAATAGCGAATATTATGGTACTTTTGAAGATCCTTATCTCATATAATGTATTTTATAGAGATAAATAATATATATCTTAAAACTAATTTTAAAAATTGTGAAAATTTGTATTATACTTTAAAGCAATACCCTAGATAAAATTAGGCCTCAGTTATGGGGGGGGGTGGAGCGTGCAGGGGCTCTAGACCCCTGAAAAATTTGAAGAGCCCCCTGTAAATTTTAATTTTTTTTAATACTCAAAAATAAGTTGTTTTGAAATTAACTTTATAAAAATGTTAGCTAAAAAAAGATCCTTTTGAAAATGTTAGCTAAAAAAAGGTTATCCTGAAAATAATTTAAAAACAATTCGAGCCCACTAAGATTCTGAAGACTGTGACGCCTGTTAGCGACCTTATCCTATATCTAATAAATATATGGACTACATCAGCCATTGTCCTATATGTAGATTCCTTTAATTTTAACTATTTTAAATGTAATTTTAGTATAGAACTATTTACCCACATGGCTGTTCCTTAACATTAATCTTAAGATCACACTCGAAAATTTTATTTTAATTTTGCCCATTGTTTTTCGAGAACGAAAGATAGAAAAAATGAAGCTTTTTCACAGCGGTATGAACCCTAATTCGGGTTCAGGAATTTTAAACTTTTAGCGAAATTTTGATAACTGGAACTTAATCGAAGCCGATTTTCTAAAAGAGGTCCAGACCCGCCCCGGTTTCATATTACCCGGGTTTGATGGGTAGCCCATAAATCAGTATTTGTTTGATCTGTGGTCTTAAAATACTCAACCAAACAATTTTGAATTCTTGAACCCGACTTCGGGTTCAAAACCCTGCTATTTCACCCCCCCCCCCTTCAATATTATGGTTCTAACCGTGATCTCATTCCTCAATCACTTATGAATTTTTATCCATCTAATATCTAGGTTTAATAAAAAATATCTTATTGGGATATGGAATACATAGGAATTCAGAGATTTCTTATTTTAAAATAATTTACTGAGGCCTTTTTTAAAATGAATAAAGTCTGATTTGACCTTCAAATGTGTTTCAGCATATAAAAATTACCTGCATCATAAATTTCAGACAATTTTTCTATGAAATTTTGAATTATTTAATATTAGTTTATATTCATTTTTATGTAGATTTATAATATAAGCTCTAAAAAAATAGACAAAAGTTCGCGGTGGAGGGTAGGTATTATGCACAATTTAAAATTGAGATTTCTGATACCCAATGGATTTCATGTCTAAATACGACAAATAGTGTTGTTAAATGGCTCGATTTAGCCATATTTAAATTAAGATAGCCAAAATAATATTAGGCAACCCAGGTTTGCGTAATATTTTTTGGATAAAATCGGGGTTAACCGTATTTAAAAATCGCCTTTCAGCACTACATTTAATAATATAAATTATGAGAAAACAAGATTAATAACCTCACAAGTTCTCCCATATCTAATCGGTATTCGCGTTGTTCTATACGAGTTAACAAATTTTCCGTAAGAATGGATGGTCCCCAATATTCGGTTCTAAGTAAAATGTGAATGGAATAAAAAACATTATGCATTCTTAAGAAATATTTTTATAAACCTAAATAATTGAACAGTTTTATCTTCCAATATGTGCCATCTAGTCATTGGATCACCTGATATAGCCCGTCCGCTATTACCTCCTAAAATACTTACATCTAATTTTTTAGTATCTTTATCACGTGTGACTGGCATTTAAAATTTTAAATTTATCAATAAATATTTTTTGTCAAGATTATATATGAGTTTTAAACTTATTTTTTTAAGAATAGTTCTAAGTTCTAAGCATACATAAAGAAATTCTAATTTTAGTTCATAATCATATGTATTTTAAAATATCTAATCTCTAATATACAAGAGCCCTAAAATAGTTATTAAATGTTGCATGCATAAAATAAAAAAAGAGTGTTTTATATCTATGTTAAGCAATAAAAAATTAGATTTAGTAATAAATTTAACTTTTTAAAAAAGGAGTTGTGTCCTGGTTTGAATCATTACTAAACAGCTGACTGGCGTGGCCTGGGTAGACCTGTAGCTAGCTGGATATTTAGTATCGACTAAGCAACCAAAAAAGCAAAAGAAAAATTTAAAAAAAAGAAAAAAATACCATCCTAATACTTAAAACTATCTAAAATAGGATGTCTTAGTTCAAAAGCTTTTTAGCCTAGACTAAAAAACAATTAAGTATAGATATTAAATCGACCAAGACGGCTGTTTAGCTGGTGTTTTAGTAAGCAAAAAAGTAGGCAATTAAGATATTGAGCATGCCACTCATTTCTAAATAGAGAGTAGGGGGGTTTCTTCTAGAGTACTCAACTCTAATGGTTAATTTTTTAACCAAATATGTATAACAACATCATGCTTATGGCGCTATAATATTCTTTAATATCGGATTACATATAAAATTTTTATAACACTATATATGATTTATACCCTCTTAAGTAAATTTTTAACGCTGATATAAAAAATATAAAAATAATAAAGTTTGAATTATCTTATAAATATCTTATATAAAAGATTAAATCCTATTCTATATAAAATTATTTTTTATTTGAATAAAAAATTTAGGGTCTGCAGTATTTTTCAGAGGTTCATATGAGCTTTTTGGGTTTTATTTATAAATTTATGTTTGCTTATTGAAATATAAATATGGTAGGAAATTATAATAGAAAAAAGAAACAACTAATAAAATACAAATGATGAAATCATTAATATATTTAATGCAAATCCGTCCATGCTAGCCGTTATGGAGAAAACAAGCTTAGGTTATGTAAAAGTAAAAATATATAAATCAAGATTAAGGAAACAACAAGATTTTAAATTGTCAGCATTAAGACAAATATTCAAGAAAACTAAAGAAACTATATTAAACAATAATAAATACATCTAAAATGTTTATTGGTCTTTGTCACACGTAAATGCTCTTTTTGGGCATATGGATCCTATTACAATTTTAATCCATTCTTTATTTGTTTAAATTGTTGATGAATTTTACCAATTTTTTATAATTATTTTCCATTATGGCTTATTTTTATCAATAAAGTAGTTTCAATAATATATAACATTTTTGTATTTAAAAATAATCATTATCAGATCAAAAGTGCCTAATGGGAAAGCGCTCATCCTTTCCCAAATATTATTTTCAAAAAATTTATATTGCTAAAAAATTAAAATATTTAAAAAAATTCTTTTTATGTATAGCATAAAGGTAAATAAGAGGGAGTGAGACACTTTATTAAGGTGTATAATACGATTAACACAGTAAAGCAAATATATATATAGCTTTTAATATTTTAATCTTAAGCAAAAGTATATTATAGGAGAAAGGTGAGAATTTTTAATAGTTTTATTCAAATAACTCCAACCTGTTATAGTGCAATTTAATTCATATAAAATTCCTTCTATAGAAGGGATTCAACAGGGTGATCCTCTTGGCGCATTGATATTTTGTTTCGGAATCAACGATATGATCAAGGCAATCAAAACCTATCTTTCTTCATGTTTGGTATATAGAAGATGATATACTCTGTGGCTCCAATGAGGTCAATAAAGCGATCGATAAATTTTAGAGATCGGTTCTTCTTTAGGGCTAATTTTCAAAAAGCAAACCAGACAGAATTCATCCAACTAAAATGTTCCAAAATTAACTCCCACAATTTTAAAGTCATTAATCAAGATTAATTGATTCACTCAGCAGCTGTTTGCACCTTTCTGGCTTCAACCCTTGAGACTCTTATCAAATTGGGCGATATCCTTCTCTTCCTTTCTTCTCTTAAGTAGTTTTTTCTGATAAAAAACTTTTTCAATAAACGGCGCATTCTATACTCTTATCAAATTGGGCGATATCCTTCTCTTCCTTTCTTCACTTAAGTAGTTTTTTCTGTTAAAAAACTTTCTCAATAAACGGCGCATTCTATATGCTTTAAGGACTACTACTGTTTTTAAATATCCGGATCCTTTTGAATTGAAACGAAAATCAATAACCTAGCCGAAGAGATCTTAAATTTTAAGTTCGAAAAAATTGCTTGGGCTCAAACTTCTCTCTCACAAAATTAGGCGGTCTTGGCATCAGATCTCCTTCTGATTTCGCTTTAACAAATTTTATCTTAAATAGCTTATTAACAAAGCCTATTGTTACCGCTCACTCTTCTGTGGACGATTCGTCAAACACTGAGGCATTAGATCTATGGAGATCTCGAATTCTTGTTTACACCCCTTTATCAGCCACTTGCAAACAAATGGAATGGGATATCTCGGTTGTTGCCTGCTCCTTCGAAACTCTATTATCAAGTATGCACCCCCTAGATCCTCCTCTCTTCTCATCACTGCTTAATGGTTCTGGACACGAGTTCCTTGAGGCTATCCCTACTATTAATCTTCAATTACAACTAAATGGACTCACTCATGCCATTGGAATCCGTCTTAATTGCTCAATTACCCAACCTTAACCACCATTGCTCTGGATGTAATGTTCCTGTTGACTCGAAGGGACGACATAGTTTGCAATCCCGTTCATGCAAAGGACATACTTCTAGACACAATCACTGTAATGCCATTATTCAACGTGCCCTTAAATCTTAGCAGATTTCATTAATCCAAGAATCTAGTGATCTTTTTAGATCTGAGGGAAAACTTCCAGATGGCATTAGCCAAATTCCTTGGAAGAGAAGTCAATTTCTAGTTTGTCACTATTCCTGTAATAGATCCCCTAGGCCCTTCATATCTTAGCACAAACATCTTGGGCATCAAAGACTATCCAAAATTAATAAATATTTGGAAATATCCAATGAACACATTTTTATACTTATAATCTCATCTACATAAGCCACATATAGTAGCCTTGCTTTAACCTTTTTCAAGAAACTCGGTTCTCTTATTCATAAAATCACTGATGGACCCAAGGAATGTTTTTACCTTAGGCAAAGACTCTCAATTGCCATTCATAAATCGAATTACATCAGTTTCATTGGATCCTCCTGCCTAAGGAGCTTAAAAAAATCCTTTTTACTTAATTTTATGTTCTTATATCAAATTATGGATTAAAATGTAATGTATTAACTTTAAATAATTGTATTTTGTTTAAGGATACAATTTATGGTAATTGATTGATTATCGTAAATGCACTTTCGATCAATATATAAACATCTTATTGTTAAATTGAAATTATCTTATCATTTAATTTTGTTAAAAAAAATGATATTTTATTTTAATATCTTAAACACTACATATAATATATTAATAAGCATATTATAAATTATATAAATATTTTATTTCTAATAAATATAATTTATAAATAGGTTACAATTTAAAAACATATATATAAAACTATCGAATATAGTTTAACTAGATAGAAATTTGATCACATAAATGGAATAAATCACAGGGGAAAGGACACGTTAATTTTTTTAAAAATTCATAGATAAAAATTATAAAGTTGGTCTGTCAAAACGCGAATTATAACACAGATTAATTTGAATATGATAGAATATTGTTTTTTAGAGACCCACTTATAATCGGGCCTCGATTATTTAGACTGGAGAGCGAAATTTAGTTTTAATGAGGGAATCATTTACCCCCTTTTTTGTAAATTTAATGATGTATTTTTTTTTACAATCCGCGACTAATTTTATAATTTTTATTATTTATATTACTATGTTCTATCTATATCAATAACAAAAAACAACATAGTAGATTACTAATATTGCATTATAATGTAATTGTTCTTTCAAGTTCCTTCTAATATTCATTCTTTTTCACTGAAACGATTTTCTCACTATTCGACCATTTAAAGGCTGCGGATCTCTGAAAATGTTTCGCATGTGTTGACACTGGCCTTCGCCCGTCATATCGCTCGAGTATAGATTAAATAATTCACCGAGCTATTATAAAAAATAAAATCGTTATTTAATGTCTTTCATTATTGATCAATCAATAATATACCATTATAAGTATGTATAGGATTTATAATAATTATATTGAGTAGTGAATAAGCAAGAAGTCAAAGACCTATTTTTTTTACTATTACATGTTTTAAAATAAAAGCAAAGGCAATAAATAGTTATTATTTTTTCACGCAATTTTAGGTGGATATTTATTTATATATAATATATTTTGTTTGATATTTTAAATTACTATTTGATTTTTAAGATATAGGCAATAGATGATATCAATCTTTAAAAAAAGGTGCCACTACCCTTTTTAAAAATTTATATAAAGGTGCTTTAAAAATTTTTTTAAAAGGCTAAATTAATATTTTTTTTTATTTTGTTATAAGTGCTTTATTATAGGTTTAAGCATTCATCCAAATTTTATAAATATCATTTAGAGGTCAAGAATAAAAAAAAAGTATGGGTGCTATGTTAAGCATCATTTTGCCACTCCCTTCTATAGTCTATGTTTAAAATCATGGTAGGTATACAGTTAAATTATTAATTCTGTAGCTACAAATATAATTTTAGGTCTAAACTAAAAAGAAATTTAGTATATTGTTTTTTCCCCAATTAGTTTCAAGTGGCAACAATGACTCTACCATGTTTTTTTTAAACGATTAAAATAATGTAATTACTGACTTGAGAACTAGATATTTCGATGGCGTTTTTTAATAGAATCCACGTGACTGTTTCTAAGAAAGGCGGCGTGGTTAAAGAGCCAGGATACGTCCAATATTGGGTTAAATCATCTTTATAGAAATATCGAAATAAAAAAAATTATATAATTTGTATGTTATGGGTGGTTACAATTTACTTGGAAGATATTTGAAAATGTCCAATTCCTCGTCCACTAATAAATGTTCCCTATAGTTCCTGACGTATTTTAAATTATTAATAATTTTATCGAACTCCGCGCTTTCTTCCCCTATCTATCAACAAAGTAAAAATATACATAAAATTTGAAAATTTAAGTTGGGTTACTTTTAAGAAAACTCCCATCACGCATAGGCCTTGATAATAGTTACTCGCCTCCGCGATTGATTGAGAATCTTTGTGATTCCAATGAACAAAATGGATCTAATAATAAAAAAAAAGAGTTACTATATTTGATTATTTTCATATAGAAGGGACGTGACCATGATTTTATAGGTGGGGGGGGGGGAAGGGGGTTGGTGATTTTAATTTTTGAGAGGTATGGAGGCGTCCGTTGAAGTTTCTGATTAGTTATTTTTAAATTTCCCATCGTTATTTTTATTTTGCCTTTTTTTAGAAAAAAGTGTGATATAATTATTATCATCTCCATCAAAGTTGATGGAACCTTTGGAAGCACGTCTATGCTAATATTTCAAGCTTTAGTAGTGCCTATGAGTCTTTTAACCAGCATAAAGCGGAAAAAAATTATCAACAAAATTTTGGCCAATTTTACGATTAAACGGGTATACTGAAAGTATTTATTGTTAATTGTTTAACGCTTAATTTGTATTTTGTTTCAATCGGTATTTTGATATATAAAGTAAAAATAATTTTAAAAAATGCTAAAATTGGTATCATGCCAGAATGAGAAATGTAGGAAAACTAAATTTCCGGTTAGCCTTAATATTTATTGCTTTACTTATTAATTCCTCAATCCATTTCGCTATGTTAACCATAAAAAAAAGTAACAGAATTTTAAGCCAAATAAAAACTAGGATTTCACGCCTTAAACATGAAGTCAGCCAAACTTCTGGATGCATATACTCAAGTTTAAAAATAATTTTGGTTCAGGTTGGTTTGGGCTAAAATTTTTAAATATATTATTCATTTTGTGAAATAAATTGATATATTTTAAAATTCTTGTAAGAAATGTGGCGGCCATTTTTTTTTACAATTAAAATAAAATTTTCTATTTCAATAAATTTGGGCTAGGCGGATAATAAATAGTTTTTATTTTTATCTCGCGTCGGCCTTTTCGGGAAAAATAAAGAAAAAATTCATTCGGAATGGACAAATTTTCTTAAAGGACCCCGGCCATGAAAAATTAGGGCCCGATCAGATCACTATTATATACTATACTAGATTGGCGATTCATTCATTAAATATATTTGAAAGAACCCACACATAGTAGCTGTAGCGGCATCTTGTGGTTTGCATTTCGATTAAATGACACTAATGTGCATTCATAAAATGATAAATAAGATATTTAGTCGATATGGGAACTGAAATGATCTACAGCTGACTCCTATCTATGAACACTTTTAATTAATGAATCGCCAATCTAGTGGAATATATACATCATTACCCATATTGTTAATAAAATCAATTAGAGATTGAAATGTCCATCTTAACCCCCAACTTATTATTTAAATTGATATAACCTCTGCATCGTACGACTTTCCATTGATTCTGTGTTCGGAACCCTTGCGATTTTCGTAGCCCCAGTGGAAATGAAAATGGTCGAGCTGATAATTATTGGCCAATGGACCCCCTCCTATTTCTGTTATATAATAATGAAAATAATTAAAACCCCTTATAAAGAATAAATATAAATATTGTAGCTTTTTTTAAAATAAGGTCGTGGTATATATTAGAGACCTGCAGACCCGGCCCTAAGCCCGAGTAAATGAGCCGGGCTGTATTTTAATTTTTTTAAACATACCCGGGCCGGGCCTGAAATATTTTTTTTAAAAAATACCCGGGACGTATATTTTAAAACCAAATAATTTAACACGCCATTATTAGGCTATAAAAATTAAAAATAAATGGCTCGAAAATTTTTTTTAAAAAAAATCCTGGCTGGGCTGTGTAAACTGGATTGCCTTAGTGTTTGATAAATCTTTTTTTTTCTTTAAATTTTTTTTTAAGTTAAATTTAAATATTTGAGCATCATTAATATAACCATCACATCATTTCTGATTATTTATTTTTAATCAAATTTCAACTAACGGGAACATGACAAGTAAATTAAATTTATAAAATTTTAAACTTATAAATGAAATGAGATATCAAAAAAAATTTTTTGTTGATTTAATGCAACGTTTTGTTATTTTTTAAAAAATAACTTACTTTTTTTTATCAGTTTTTAATAAAATTAAAAGGGTTTTGATATGATTTGACCCGATTTTTAAAAACAAATAACTCAATATTGAATATCACTCAAGCCTGAAGATTTTACTCATGGATGGCACAAAGGTTTGGACATCTATTAGAGAAATCTCGAGGGCTTAGGCAATATTTTTCTAACTAAAATATTGAGTTCGCCGTTTTAAAAAATTCGGCTCAGCCATTTCACTACCCATTTTTATTGTATAAATTACATTCGATTTGATATAAGTTAAAAGTTTATAGAACAAGATGAAAACAAGAACTCTTGAAAGCGTTATTATAGGCAGTGACTCATAAGACATTTTTGGCCATCCTGCTCCTTTACGGCCGAAAAATTATAATTCGTTCCCGATTTCGTTCCATGTTTCGGAACGCATTCCTAAAAAAATTAATTTTATTTATATTTTATCTATATACAATTTTTATTCATCGTCCTTACCCTTTAATACCCTTCGATATAATTAGTGATTAAGACATTCTCTAAAAAAAATTTATTTATATAAATTTGAGTTTAAAGAAACACCTATTAACACTAACTTAGCATAAATTTAATACATTTTTTTCGCCAAAAAACATTAAATGTTTTTTACGCCAAAAAAACTTAAAATATTCTTAAAAATATTTTAAAGTAAATATTAGAGTTCTGTAAGGCCCTGCCCAACCTAGACTAAGAAAATTTTTTAAATAACGGGCCGGGCAATTTATATATAAAATGTCAGGAATCGCCAATCCCTAATTTTAGTAAAATTTTAATAGGCAAGCCCGGGAATTAAAATTCTATTATATTTTTTTGGATCTCAAGCTAATATTTAGATTTAGATCAATATTATTGGGGGAAAAAAATACAATATGCCTATTTCTATGTATTTTGAGAGTTGTCTAAAATATTGAATCTACAAATAATATATTAAATTCATAAATAATTAAACAATTTATTAATGACATGATACAATTACTGATGCACTATAGAGATTTAAACATAATTGATCTATAAAACGATTATTGTAGAAATTGATAGACGTCAACAAAATTATTTGTTATACATTTCATGTATTTTGACATAGAAAATATATGACAGGATATATTTTTTTTTAAAAAATCTCTACGCTTTATGTATTTAGGGTAAAAAATACTGAAAATAAAACTTTTTTTCATATTTTATGTTTTCTGGCGTAAAAAATATATTTTGTAAAAAAATATATACACTATAGGCTTTATTAGGGTATATAAACCCTCAGAGATAATTACGGAAATAATATAATTAATGATGAGTAATAATATATTTAGTAAAGCCAAACTGGAATTAAGGAAATAAAAAGGAATATTAACGAATCGCGCATTATATATGTCATATCGGGAAATATGGGAATTCAAGATCCATCCATTTTAAATCATTTACTGAAAGCGATTTTCGAATTTGGGAAATGTGATATGATCGGAAAAGTATTTGGGCATAGATCACCTCATACTGTGATTTCAGACATTTATTTTGCCATAAACTTTTAAATTATACTATATTAATTTTCATAAATTTAAACAAATATTCAAAAGTTTACGCCAAAATTGTCTGGGTAAATTTAGTGTGTTGTTAAACGGCTTGTTTGAGCCGATTTTAAAAACGACTAATACAATGTCTTAGCCAATTTTAGTCATAGATGGCACATAGGTTTGGACTATTGGCAAAATCTCCAGGTTCGTGCTATATTTTTCTGGCTAAAATATTGAGTTAGCCGTTTTTACATATCGACTCAAATCGGGCCGTTTAAAAGCACCATTAATTCAAAAATCATTATCAGCAAATGATTTAAAAATTAAAAAGAATAAAATCTTCATGGATTCTAGATCCCAATACGACATTAAATATTACATTTCACAAATTCCGTTTCATGTAGTACTGCTAAACGGATTCAGCTGATTTTAAATTAAAATTTTAGGCAAAATAATATATAGATGTCCAAAATCTCCTGGCTTGCGTAATTTCTTAGCGAAAGTATTGGGTCAGCAGTTTTTTAAAAATCGAACCGTGATCATAAGTATACTTTTTAAATTATGAATGTTATAAATTTAGGTTTTGTTAGTGTTGTGTTTCTTACGCAACTCGAAACTTGGTGGAAGAGAACCCTTCTTGATAAATGATAATTTATTTTTAACTTTCTGGCAAAATTACTTTTTTAATTATTTTTATTTAAATAAATTAATACTTTTACTTCCATTGCTTAAATATTTACGTTTTTAGTAAAATTCCTTACATGGATAATTGTCGTAATTACCTGGACTACTAAATAAAGGATAGTAGCATCCCAAACTTTCGAAACCTTTTATTTTTAAACTGACTCGTGTCTCATTTATTTTAACACACTACACTATTTGTACATTATTACGGATAAATAATCAGAAACAATGGTCAAAATATTATGCTCAAATGCGCAAGTTTAACATATAAAAAATATGTTCAAATACACAAGTTTCATTATTTGAAAATTATTAATAGCAATGTAAGTTTAAAGTTTCATACATTTAATTTAATTGTCTATATTTTCCCATCAATTGAAATTTAAAAGTATAAATAATCAGAAATAATAGTTCATATCTTATTATGCTCAAATTAACTTTAAAAATTTAAAAAAAATATATTTTAAAAATTATTTTATTATTTAATAAGATTCCATGATACATAGTGCAATCTTAAGAATTACACAAAACCAATATCAGTAAAACTTGTCTAATTTGGGAAACTCCTAATTTGACCAAGATTTTAACCTCAACTTTGACTAATTTATCAACAATAATAGTTTATAGGAATATGATCGGAACTTTCAGTCAATGTGCTATTTTTTCAACTTATCATTTTTTTGAGCATATTTTTTTTTAAATTTTCGCCAAAAAATCTGATTTCCGAAAATGTATTTCAGGATGCATAAAATGCCTACCTTATAAATCAGACAATTATGCCGTTAATTTTAGAGTTCCCTTTTCCATTTATTAAAACAAAACACTAATATTAATTCAAAATAATATGTTCAAAATTTCATGATAAAATTTTTTGAAAATCATAAAAGTGTGTATTTTAAACACGCTAGAATTAAGGATACAATTTTGAAAAAATTCAATATTTCGAAATTTAAAAAAATCTGCTCAAAAAATGGTCTAAAATTGATACATTAAAAGAGGAGGTGGGGTGCTTAATTATTTCTTCCTTTTTTTTTAAATTTCTAAACAATGCTCAACTGATTAAATCTTAAAGGTTATATATTAAAAGTTACCTAAATCTTTGATGAGAGGGTTTACTTTGAGCGTGGTTCCGTCATTCAAAATGTTGAAATTCCGAAGTTTTCTATAAGTAAACGTTAAAGGATTATCTTTGTCCAAGTAGGGATCGTATTGAGCCTTATTGGTGACGATATTGATTGGGGACTGGAATCTACCGTGAGAAAGTGGGTAGCGTTTTTCCCACATCTTTTCACCTTTGAGAATATTAGATATTAATTTTTTTCGTATAAAAACTTTTAGAAATAAATGGCTCTAATGAAAAATCACATAAAAAAATTTTTTTTAGCTATAAAACATAAAATATGGTATGATTAAAATTCGCTTATCTCCCGATAAAATAAATTATATTTTTTTGGTATACGATTAATAAATAAATTATAACGGGAATTTTTTTTAAAGTTATCTTTAAAAATAATAGATTTGTATAAATATTTACAATAAAATTTTTTTTTATTAAAATCGCAAAAGGTAAATTCTATTTCCTTCTCAATTTATGTTTTTTTTTGGAACAAGATTAGTAATTTATGAAGATTATAGGATGATGTTATTTTTAAAAAAAAAAAATCACGTATTATTTATTTTTAATTTTTAAAAAAAATTAAGAATAATCATTGATTAAATTTTTTTTATTTAAAATGCATAAATAAAAATCGGAGACCCACAGGCTCGGCCCGCACCTCGAATAATATGATTTTCAAAATCTGGGTTTATTCTAAAAAAAAAGAAATTATTTTTAAATAAATTGCTAACTCCGTCAGGGTCTAGAATAAAATTAAACCCTCTATTACGCCGATCATATTTAAATATATCTTCAGTTCAGTGTAATAAACTATGTTGGAATAAAATGGAATTTCTATATTTTGATAAATTCGGGCTGGGTTGACAAATAATATTTATATTTATTTCGGGACAAAAAAAATGTTCGAAGTCGGATCGCGCCAAACATTCTTTCTCTTTCCTTTCTTTCATTTTTTTCTTTCTTTCTTTCAAATTATGCCCAAATACCACAAAAAATGTAATAAATTTTCTCGTAAATAAATATGTGCATCAGATGATTTAGTTCATGAACTGCAAATTATAATATTAACATATTTATGCACGTTTTGGAATTTTTTCTTCTAAAATAGCCAATTTATTTTTTCTACAATAAATGTTTAGACGCTCGAGAAATAGAGGGTTAAAATACAAAAAAGGGCTGGTCAGATTTTTTTTAAAAAAATGAATTTAAATTATAACAATTAATCCATTGAAAGTTTACGTAATGAATTATCTAATTTATTAGCGATATTTGAGCCAGGATGTTCAAAATAAAGATTAATCAAGTTAATTAAGTGATTTGTAAAAATTAAATCAATTTTTTTTTATTTCAATTATACATAATAATTATCAAAATTCTTCACTTAAAATTGAATATTAATTAAACTTATTTTAGCAGTTTAACAAGTGAGAATTATTTAGTGGCCTTTCCTAAGCTTAAATTTTTTTAAAAATCTTATTTGAACTTATATTTGTAATACTAACAATTGCTTTAATTTTTTAAATGATTTCAACAATAACAAATTTTAAATTAACCCAAGCCAAAAAAAAAAAATTTTCTCTAGAAATTGCATCATACACCAATGAGTTGATTATTTTACATTTCCATATTGTCAATCGGTGACAATATTGAGTAAGAAAGACGAAAACATTATTTTACCAAATCTTTATGATTTGGTTTGATGCTTAATTATTAATATCAGGTGTAGCAGTCATTGTTGGACACCCGGATATTGATGATTTTACTGAAATACATATAAGGAGATTAAAATTTAGCATTCTTTACAAATCTTTTGCTTATTTTTTGCCGCTGATATTTACAGCAGTGGCCATTGACTTAAATATTCTTGGATACAATCTGTTATTGTGTTTTATCTAACTTCACTAAGCCCCTTATTAATAGAGTATTATCTTGATTATTTCTAAAATATTTTATATCCACTTCGTTACACTTTTAACCTCTAAATCATCCCACCTCTGACTTAAATTCCTAAATCAGAATGTAAATATTATTCTTCATCATCACGATATTTTATGCATCATCTGCTTGTAATCGTGATATTTAAATTCCTTTTTGTATATTATAACAAGACCTATCTTTTCAAATTTATTTTGTGAAATGTTTAAAATATACTTTTTTATGTAATTTTTAAATAAAAATATGATATAACATAAATAAGTTGGTTCAAAAATTGTATTCATAAATCCACGTTTAGAGATTTGGTCATATAAAATCCAACCCTTTTTTTAAAAAAATTTATATGAATTTTAAAAAAAAATTGATTTAAATCTAAAAAACTAAGATTTTTATTTACTTCTTTTTTAAAAAAATCAATGATCAGATCAGTAACGAAGTAGGCCTTTATAAAAATCGGGTTCGATGTTTAGGCACTACAAACCATACATGTCGCCGTAAAATATTTCAGTACAATTCGATATTATGGATAAGCATGGTAAGGCCCATTAAAATTGTTATACGAGTTATCCAATGCGACCCGTTTTTGCTCGGTCCTTAAAATTTTTACGTGGCATAAAAAAAAATATTCTTTGTTTAAATCATTTTACGAAATTCCGGACCGGCCCTGTTACTATTGGCTAAATGTCGGCTCAATCTACAAGCGCGTGTCGGAGATAATTGGTTAATATTAAGGTGTTTAAATATTAGTTTCTTTCCTTCAAATATGACCTTACCTTTTATATTTTTAAGAAAAACTCCAGCCAAAATAATAGTTTTTGGCTAAAACTTTGTTTTATACGGCTAAAAATATAGTAAATACCCAAATGTCACTGTCAGTTAAAATATATTACATGAGATTCCTTGTTCCGTTCGGTGCCCGAAGATATCTAATATAGACCCCCCCCCTCCGTGCTCCTCCCCTTGGGTGGATGTTAAAATATTAAATTCCAAATTTAGTTGGCAAACCAAATTTTGTATTTTGTTTAGGCAAAAATTCTATATTTCAAGGCTTGCGAGAAAAAAAAATTAATTGATAAATGAAATTATATTTTTATCGTAATAGTTAAAAATTTGCTTATTTTATTTGTTTTAGCAAATCAAAATTTTATATGTGAAAATTTATAAGAAAAAAAAGGCAGTTATCAAAAAATTAGGTGTGAAGTTTTCTTTCTTCTAATTTAAAGTTATTGTCATGTAAGCTTTTCTCGTAGAGGAGGTGAAAGTAGGAAATTTAGTGATATATCTTAGGTTAAACATGTTGTCTAGAATTTAGTTTGTGGCATGTTTAATAATAGACTAATGGGGGCTGAAACTGGGAAATCGTTTAGAATTCACCTTAAATAAACTGTATTGGGGATATTTGTTTTATTTTTTAAAAAAGAATTAATTTGACGAATTTAAGAACACAGAATTTATAAAATGATTGGTTAATTTATAATAAAATAAAAATGTTATTGTAGAGATCTGCAAAAGTAGTTTTTAAAAAATAATCGAGTTCGGGCTGGGCGGGTCTAATATTTTTTAAAAAAAATTCGGGCCGGGTCGGGCCTTGGAAATTTTTTTTAATATATCTAAATTTATCAATTTTATGTTGAATTTTTAATGTAAAATTAAAATTTTTATTTTATTTATAGAAACTAGACACCATATAACACATATCTTTTATTTTGAGTAATTATAAAAATTAATTATGTATTTAAATAAATTCGGGCCCGGCAGGCAATTGTTTTAAAAAATATTTCGGGTCCAGGTGGGGCCGGCAAAATTTTAAAAAAAAATTTCGGACCGGGCTTGAAAAATTAGGCCAGATGCAGAATATCAACTTATTATAAACGGCTAACCCAATATTGTAGGAGGAAAAATATTGCCTAAGCCTCGAGATTTCGCTAATAGATGTTCAAACATTGGGCCAACTGTTTAGGATTGCGTATTTTTTTTTGATAAAATATTGAGCTAACATGTTTTTTAAAAATGGTCTCAAACCGAGTCGTTTAACAACATAAGTTGATATAATGAGTTCGATGTTTTTTAATTTGGGGTTGTGTTTTTATTTTTAATATCATAGCACTTCAAATCACCCTAATAGTGTGCACAAATTATCAAAATGCAAATAATACATTTTAAATGCATTCGTTTAAATTGGACAGCATTTTGTTTTAAATTTAGACGTTTCATATTAAAAAAATAAAAATTAACGGTTCAATATAAACATAGCTGCATTTACGATTTTTTAGTGGTGTTTTGAAACGTTAGCGTTGAAAAGTCCAATTTGTGCGCATTATAATAATTTAAAAAAGATAATTTTATGAAATTTGTAATATAATGACTTTTGATTATGATGGTATATGGATAATGGTTAATAATTTGAAAAGATTGTAGGGAAAAAAAACAATTTGTAGTTTGCTTCTAAATATTTTTAAATAATTGATCCCAAAAATTAAAATCATGCGCATGATATATATAAAATTTTAGGAATCCATTTTTTGAAAAATATAATCAGATTTTATATTCCTAGTTCTTTCTATTAGAAATATCAGAAACCTGTAGAAGCTGAAATTGTAAGCCCTGCCTATAATAACAAAATAGTAATATTTATAAATCCTGCCCAAATTTTTAAAAAAAGGTTTTTGGCCCAACCAGGGTTTTAAGTTTGAACGCAATCTGGGCCGGATTTTTTAAAAATCTTTCTTGATCTTTAAAATGTTATTGCTCGAGTTTCTAATGGGACCGACTTTTAAGCCGTACCTGCAGGTGCCTTTGATAATGATTTAGACCATGCCAATATATATTTTTAAAAAACTGAGAAGTTTCAAAACTTTTAAGTATTTTAAAATTTTAATGAAATCGCATGTTAAATTTTTAAATTTGCTATAATTATATTTTTGGACATTTTTTTTTAAAAAAAAAGCTTTTTTCTTCTTTGTCGATAAAATTTCAAAAGTTTGAGAATATAGTTTTTTTTATATACGATTTTTTAAGACAAAATACCAAAAAACGAGCATTTAAATAATCACGTGGTTTTTTCCATTTTCCTTATCGCTTGATATACTTTGTCATTGTCATTTAAAATAACAATAACAATATTTTTTTTAAAAAAACAGTTTGTTGAAAATGAATAAAAAATTTATCAACTTTCGGAGCTATTTTTTTTTCACTTACGGTATAAGGAATAGGAGAATGTATTTCGAGTGTAGAAATTTTTACCATTTCCACTCTTGAGCAAGGAATGTAAATAATTTTCCATATGTAGGAATTTAAGGTTATTAGAACTGTGTATACCATAAACTTTGAACTCAAAGCAAAATTTAAGGGATTTCATCTTCAAGGTGTATGATTGGAAACATTTCTTCTAAAATAATTCCTTATTTAAGAATGAAATCTAATTTTGCATAAATTATAATAAATATTTACCGATAAATTAACAAAACAAATATTGATTTCATTTCAAATCATTGTCAAAATACAAATAAGTGTAATAATTTTTAAATTATATACCGTAAGCATGTTATATATTTTGGCTAATATAATTATAGTTAAAATGTAAAAGTTTATTTTAAAAAAAAACAAAAAAAAACAATCGATATAACAAAGAGTTGCCTTGAAGTTTATGTATTTATTTTGTGATCAACAAATATAAACATTAAAATTGTTTTTTTTTAAATTATATTATAAATAAGGTAAATAAACTCTGAATAGGACTGAGAAGAGCAAGGTTCTAAAAGAAAATATTCGAGAAAAGTCAGTGAAGATTTATACTGTGGTATAAGATTAATTTTGGTAATAATGCGGTCACATACTGAGAGCGGGGCTGCCAAATCTCCCTCAATTAGCGGGAGTCTCCCGCAAATTTTCGTCAACCCGCACAGACCTCTCTACCGGAAACCTCCCGCAATTTTAAAATTTCTTTCATATTAAAATTTTAATTATTAAATGAAATAATAAATTTTAGAAATAAGCTCATTTGTTTTAATTTTTTTTATTTTATAATTAAATTTCAAAATAAATTATCAAAAATCTTCTAGTTAGTTTAATGAATAAACCAATGATTCCCTTTAGTGTTGTACGGCTTTTAGCCGATTTTTAAAAACGGCTAACTCAATAATTTAACCAGAAATAAATATTGTCTAGGGATCAAGATTTCGCTAATAGATGTTTAGACCTTTGGGCCATCTATGAGCTCAATCTTCAGGCTTGAGTAATGTTTTGCTGGATAAAATATTGAGTTAGCTTTTTAAAAATTGACTCAAATCGAGCCGTTTAACAACACTAATTTCCTCAGTCTATTTAATTGGTCTTACTAGATAATTCCTACACAAAAAATCAGATTAAAGAATTTATTGTTCTATAATGAATAAAGCAAATCGATTACATTATGCTAAGGAATAAAATATTACCAACTCTTAAAAAATATAATAAAACGATACTGACTTTTAGGTACAATGAAAGTAATGATTATGAAAATGAGAATAGTGAAGACAAATCACGGAACAGCCCACAAAAATATATTTTCCGCAATTTGAAAAATTTCTCTTGGAGTTTGACAATTTTGACCTGAGCAATGCTGAAAATGTAGATTATAATAATGTAGAATTGTTGGCCTTAGAGTGCAAATTAAAATGAAGTTAAATCGGAATGTGAAATTTAACAGAATCAATTTAGGGAAGGTGTGAGAGACTTTTTAAGATTTAAAATTTTGATGAAAAGTTTTCACAATCGAATACTTAAAATGATAAATGTATGCTAGGAGTCAGTTAGCAAGAGATTTTTTTATTAGTCTTACGGTATTGATGTATCGCGTCAAACGTTTTTAATTATTTATGCGTTTTACAAAAAATATTAGATAACGTTGTAAATTATCCTTACATACCAAAAAATATTCGTTGTTACAAAGACTCAGACGCCATAAACTTTGATTACGGAATCACTATAAGCTTAACTTTATCGTGCTAACGGGATATGTAGTAAATAGATATAAAGCCAGAGTATAATGTTGGACTAAGTGATCCTTTAATATATAAATTTTAAATGTGTCTTATACCATTTTGATAAAATTTGGGTAGTTTAACAAATTGTATATGTTGACTGACGTCATTATATCAACCCTTTTTTTTAGATTAATGTAAGTTATTTTCATTACTTTATAACTTACAAATAAATGCGTTGCGGATATTCTTAAAAGTAACGTGCAATTTGTTACTTACCCTTGTCTGAATTTAATCTGAAAAGAAATGAAAAATATGTTCAAAAATAATATTTTGTTAAACCTTTTATCTCAAAAGATGCTTATAAAAATTTTAAAAATGAATTGATAAAATAATTGCTAATTAATAGATTTTTATTTTCGAAGTATGACACAAAAATTTATACTTTGTCACTCAAAAAATAACCCGTTATTTTTTAAAAAGTAACGATTAAGTTATAGCCACCCCCCCCAACCCCAAATAAAATAAATGCTACTACTGACGTTATTTTTCCAAAATTAGTTTACCACTCATATTTTAAACCTCATTTAATTTTTGTTTTTAAGCCTCAAACCCAGTTCGGGCTTCGATTTGACTGTAGGGCTATACGATTCATATTAATTGATAAAAAGCCTTGTGGAAAAACACTGGTTATCCCAACAAAGGGCTTTAACCTTAGCTAAACAATTTAGTTAGAAATTAGTGACTTAATTTTTTCAACATCTACTTATTTCTTTTATGCTTCTTCTTTTTAAATTTATTTATTTAATCGCCCTTTTTAGTCATTTACTCCTTTTTTAGATCTTATCTATCTATCCTATCTTACATTTTTGGAAATTCTTATATGTATTATTTGTATTTGTCATATATACATATATATTATATTGATATATCATTTACGTTATTATTTTTTTAATATTTGCCAAATTTTCTTTTAAGAAAAATAAACAAATATTTTAAGTGCTAGTTAGGACGCTATCATTCTAAGAGGTATAACTAAGAGTGCTAATAACAAAAAACTTTTAATCCGCAAAACAATATAAAAACAGATAATATAAAATTATACAGAAATAAAAGATGATTAAAATATAAAGTTTTCCCACATAAATAAAATAAAAGTTAAAATTTGTCAATTAATAAGAAAAAAAAATTGTTTTTACTCATTTGGAATATATATTTTGTGATGATAAGTTTAGCTTATAATGGAATAAATTCTTTCATAAATTGAATAACTTAAATGAAAACCAATACAGAGTATAGGTTTCATAATAATAATAATAATAACATAAAAATCAATGCATTTTCCTTATAATTTGACAAAAAACATAAATATTTTTATTTATAATTAAAAATATTTAAAAAAAATAATATCGAATTATTTACATTAGATCTATAGTATGTTTGGTAATTCGTAAATAATTTTTCTCAACTTCAATCCTTAAATAATTTTTGAATCGTTGTATTCTAGATATACTAGTTTTGACCCTCAACTTTGATATAATTCATTACTATTAAAAAATGGATTAGACCACTAATTTAAAATACGAAAAGTTAGGAAAGGGTAAATAAAGCAGGAAATGTGATAATATCTGGATTCCCGGGGAAAGTTACACCAGATATGGTAAAAATCTGAAAAAAAATCCATCGAAATTGTGGGAAAAGCTCCCAATTATACCCTTTTTCTAACAAAAAATAAATAAAACCAAATTTAAAAAATATTTCTTTAATAGCTAGCATCTTTTAATTTTTTTATAAAAACATTAGTCTATATTATATAGTTTAAAAGATATTTTATTAGTTTTTATTATTTTTAAAACATTATATTTACCTTAACCCATATCTCTCTAATCTTTCAACTCTATCTCCCGTCCTCAGCGTAAAGGTTAGCAATCAACCCCATCCATCCATTTCCCTTGACCATTCATGATATTTTGGGAAAAACTGAACTCCCAATTTCCTGGTACACTATATTACCATATATCCCACATCTAGTTTAAGTGAAATCAAGCAAAAACGATTTCTTCAATTCTAGCTTATGCCCTGGGTTGGATCAGCAATCAATAAAATTAGATACATTTACTGGTAATTTTTCAATTCTTATGAGGTATTTCCTAAGGCTTTTTTGGATTTAATTTTTTCTACAGGACATATTTTTCTTAGGGTGGTTTTTTCCCCAAGGTTATTTTCTCTTATTTTTCTCTTTGTTTTTTTTCCTGAAAATTTCTTTCTGAGTTTATTTTCCCCTTCTAATAGTACCAAAATTTAGAACCGGAAATTATGGAGTTAAAAGTGGGATAACGTTATAAAGTGAAACGTTATGAACGGGTTATTATTTTTTATTAAAAGAAGTCTACACGGCGGATTATTTTTATTTTGTTTTATCTCTAATCCTTCAGTACACTAGTAAAAAAAGGTTGCAAACTCTTGTGGAGTCTGAGAGATCAAATATAAATGGATATACCTCTATTTCTATTTATTATTTTTATATTTTATTTTTAATATTATCATAAATTAAGCCTTGAACTTTATAAAAAATTTATTTATTTTATTTATAATGCCTAGATAAAGTAAAATGCTGAGGATAAATATAATATATGCCAAAATTTTCTATAAAAAAAAATAAATATTAGATATTAAAACCAAGACATTTCGTAGTTTATGTCACTCTTGTATGGCTTGACAGACAGGAGTCCGTCAGGTATGTCTATTTTAAAAACTACTCCAAAAATGTGAATTAGAATAAAATTAATTGTATACATACTCCAAGACAAAGATAGTCACCCTCCCCCCTCCCTTCCCATTATGTAGACACACCGATAATTCATTTGACAAATCATGATTGATGACAGAAAAAATGTTGAAGGATAAGGAAAGTCTGTGAGGAGGGTAACAGGCCAAAGATGATGTTTTTGATGATATTGACAGGGAAAAAAAAGAAAATGAGAATATATATCGAATAGTTAATAAGATTAAAGTTAGAAATGCTTGGAATATTGTAAAGTCAAGATTAATTGCATTTTATTTAACTTTTTTTAAATCCGCTTCCAATTTTTTTTAATCAATATTTTTAGGAAATCTTCTAAGACCAATAAATATGTTTTTTATATGATTAAAATCAAATCCAATTCATAATTTTTTTTTTTTACAAAATTTAAATACTATATAAATAAATTTAATTTTGTTTTTTAGGAAATTAAAGTATAAAAGCCATAAACTAAAAAGTAGAAATGGTTATAAAAATTTAATGGTGGTATTGTTAGTTATAAAATGTAGAAATTAAAGCCTGTATTTTTTTTAGAGAAAATTAAATAAATTCCATTAATTTTTATTTTTCATTTTTTATGATGCT